GAAAGCACATTCACTTCTAGTTGTCTTGCTATTCATGTTAAATAAACACCAGTAGCTAATCAGTGTCTGCTTGTTTATTCAAACTAAGTTGTCCTATAACAGGGTCCTATAACCCCCCCAACCCCCCTCCCCTCCCCTCACGTCATAACCGTCATTACCAATTCTGCAACCGGCACACCCCTAGTTCTGGTCGAACCAAGTTTGGTTTCCGGAGCTGATGCAGCTTCAGAGCTTGCCTCCGTGGCCTGTCCCGTTGAGGAGAGATCTCCTCTAACAGGCCGGGGGTACGATTTGGCACCCACGACCCAAGCTTTGGGCTCTGCATGTGTGGGCCATCAAAGGGTACCCGTCAGTCTCCCCGACGGAGTGTTAAACACAATTACACAAGCTAGAGCGCCCTCTACTTGACGGCTTTATGCTTCCAAGTGGTCAGTGTTCTCAGGTCGGTGCTCAGCTCGCAACCTGGATCCACAAGATTGTGGGGTGTCGGAGGTTCTCTCCTTCCTACAGGAGCTCTTGGATAAGGGTAGATCCCCATCCATGCTCAAGGTATATGTGGCGGCTATTGCTGCGTTTGTCAATCATTCGCATGGCCAGTCACTGGGTAGGAATAACCTTGTAGTCCGCTTCCTCAGGGGAGCTAGAAGGATGAACCCTCCTCGCCCCCCCTCGGACCTTTCCTTGGTCCTGGAGGCCATGAAGGGTGCCCCTTTCGAACCTCTACAGTCTGTAGACCTTAAGTATCTCTCATTGAAAACCGCCTTTCTGGTGGCTCTCGCCTCAGTCAAGCTGGTGGGTGACTTACACGCACTTTCTGTTAGTGCGTCGTGCCTTGAGTTTGGGCCTAATGACTCCAAGGTCATCCTCAAACCAAGACATGATTATGTCCCCAAAGTACTTGCCACTCCTTTCAGAGCACAAGTCTCTGTGGATCTGACAGCGAGTCTGACATTCTCTCGTCACAGGCGATTTTTGAGATTCGCCTTCGAGGGCCAGGCATCTCATAACACAGTCCTACCGTTCGGCCTGTCCCTGGCATCCTGTATATTATGATGTGCATGGACGCGGCTCTCGCGCCCCTGAAACTTCAGGGCATGCCAAATTTGAACTATTTGGACGATTGGCTGATTCTAGCTCGATCTCATTCAGAGCTCATAGAACACAGGACCATATTACTCGAACACCTCGAGAATCTTGGTCTCACAGTCAATTGGGCGAAGAGCTCGCTGTCCCCCAGCCAGGAAATATCCTTTCTGGGCACAGAGCTGAACTCGCTGTCAATGACAGCGCGACTATCGCCAGAGCGCATACTGAACATTGCGGCACTATAGTCCCGCTCAAGAGATTTCAGAAAATGCTGGGCCTCATGGCCTCATCATCATCAGTACTCCAGCTGGGTCTGCTTCGCATGCGCCCACTGCAGTGGTGGCTGAAAGCACGAGTGCAGTCTCGAGCTTGGGCCTCCGATCTGTTTCGCCTCAGGGTCAATCAGAAATGCGTCGCAGCTCTGAAACCTTGGAAGGCGACCGACTGATACTGGTACCACCGCCTCTTCAATCTGACATTCTCTCTTCGGATCTGACAGCGAGTCTGACGTGAATCTCCTTTGCCTGGTTAGGGCCCTTAGAATTTACGTGGAACGTTTGGCTGCTTTCAGACGGTCAGGACAGCTATTTGTTTCATTTGGTGGCCGATCTAAAGGTCTAGCTGCCTCGAAACATAGCCTTTCCAGGTGGATAGTGGACGCTATCTCACTGGCTTATACATCTAAGAGGACCAAGGAGCATCTTATCGAGCTCTGGCTTATATAGGCATAAGCCACGCCCATTCGGCCACACGCCCACTCATTGGTGCTTACGTCACGAGCAGTGCCTTGATAGGTTGCAGCAGTTGCCGCATAGCATCCAATAGGCGCGCGAGCTGCCTCGCCTAGGTCTGCTAGCTGCAGCAAGTGTGTTTTAAATTAATACAAATTATAAGGATAATTTTTGGCTTCAGTATTCTCGAGAAAAGAGGTTTTCCCTCTAAGTTTTTTTTTTCCATAGTCAACCAGCTAGCTATTTATTAGTTATCTAACTTAAAAACATTTTTCTATTTAATGAGAAAGTCATACGAACCTCAAAGTGTTAATCTGTCACCTCTGACCTTCAACAGCTGTCACAGCTCCTGGTGCAGATTGGATGTGTTGTTGCAGGAACTGATATGCTATAGGCTACTCCTGACTGGTCGAAATCTCATGCTACTTAGGACAAATGTAATGTACAGAAGTAGCTGCACTGCTTAAATACAAAATTAAAGTTTTTGAACGAAAAGATAAGTAAAGTCACTCTGATGACAATTTTTATGTGAAATGTGCATATTTACCCCCAATTGTCATGGTATGGGGAAAATTATTATTTTTTTAAACTTGAAACCAATTTTATTGGATTCCTTGACCCCAAAAATTTACACTTTGACACTAAATTTGTCATTATAGCGATAACAGAAGCAAAGATATGGGCTCTAGAGTATTTTCGGCGCATTGGCGGCCATTTTTGAAAAAACATGTTTATTTCTGATACAAAGTGTGATTTCACTTGTGTCTCTAAATTACATATCATGCATATAAATTTATTTGTATGACCCTAAGGTACTTCCATACCAAAGGACCTTTGCATCATGACTTGAAGTCAAAGGCCTATTTTTTGGGCTTAACCTCCCTACTGTTTCCCCAGTGTCCTTCTTAAAGGTTACACTCAATGTATTTGTTTTTATTTGGCTGGATAAAAAAAAAAAAAAAATCATTTTCATTTTTAGGTGAACTAACCCTTTAAGTTGGTTTATTTCTTGATTAAGCTTCAGAATAATCGGCCGCTATGACGGCCTTGTCTAGACAGCTTTTTGTTTTTGAGAAGTAATTTTTCTTTGGCTCTCTTTAGTAGATACTTTCTTTAATTGTCAGTTGATAACTCTCCTCTACAAAGATTTGTAGGATATTACACAGAACAGTTTGTCGTAATATCACTGTATGTAAAACGGCAAAAATATGCAAATCATTGGGCTAATTTCTCTGTTTATTTTAGTTTTGCATAATGTTTTACCTGAAAGAGAAAGCAGAGGAAGACACATTTGGTCCATCATCTTGCCAGTAGTTTTGCCACTGAAAAAAAAAAAAAAATACAAAAAAAAAAAATTTCACTAAATTACATATCATGCATATAGTTGACAAATTGACTTAATTTTTCTTAGGTTAAATGTATTATATGGGAAAAGTGCATAATTTTATGTTTTATGGATGTGTTCTTAGCCGCCAAATTATGTAATATAATAAGAAAATAATGCAGTAAAATGACAACAAGAAGAGGTGATGCTCAGAAAAGAGAGTTGATTAATAACAAAACATCCATAAAATCTGTTGATGGAATTGTCATTACAACATTATTAATCAGTGGAGAAAATGTGAAGTTGCATCTGTAAAAGTACAGCGTAATTACCAGGGCCCGTATGTATAAAACTTCTAAGAAATGCTCTTAAGAATGGTCTTAAGCTTTGACTTCAGTGTCAAAAAATTATTAGTACAAAGTAGGACATCACTAAGTGTAGGAGACGTTTATAAAGCAGCTAAAAGCAACGTTCAGTAAAGTCTAAGACTGATTCTTGAGTGCTGACTGAAGTGGCACTTAACTGCTGTGAACTAAGGACTACAGTGATGCCAACCCAAAATGTCCGCCCCCAACCACTGAATCAGCCAATAGTGAGCCAGCAAGGGTGTGGTCACTGCAGCATGACACCAATTATTTACAGTTTTTCTCAAATGCTAAAACACAAAAGCCAATCCTCTAAACCAAATGACCAGTTGTCTAAACACATTTACTAAATCTAGCCATCATTTTCCAATATCATAAACACATTTCACATGAAGACACAATTCACAAAACACAATCCTCCGTTCTCATAAATCTTAACACATTTTTCCTTGCTAAAACACAAGTTGCAAAAGAACTCTCCTCATATTCTCAAATGAAAGCTCATGTGATGCAAAATGCTTGCCACAGTCAGCAATATTTGAACACAATGAACACACCTGGTGTCATTCATTACACACAACGACTCAAAATTGAAGACACCTGTTGCTAATAATGTGACCACATGTATAATAGCAAGTTCAGAGTGCACAGTTTGCTGAAGATTCCAAACAAACACAATGGATGAAGGCAGAGTCAGGGGAACAGGAATTCGAGTCAGAGGAGGGAGAAGAGCTGGCCATGGAAGAAGAGGAGCAGGCCAACGAGGAAGAGGAGCAGGCCAACGAGGAAGAGGAGCAGGCCAACGAGGAAGAGGAGCAGGCCAACGAGGAAGAGGAGAGGACCAACAAGGGAGAGGAGGAGGCCAACAAGGGAGAGGAGGAGGCCAACAAGGGAGAGGAGGAGGCCAACAAGGGAGAGGAGGAGGCCAACAAGGGAGAGGAGGAGGCCAACAAGGGAGAGGAGGAGGCCAACAAGGGAGAGGAGAAGGTCCAGGAGGGAGAGCAAGACAACCTCGCACCATCATTACGGACGAGATGAGAGCAACGGTCATTGACCATGTCATTGTCCATGGCATGACAATGGCTGAAGCAGGACTAAGAGTCCGTCCAAACCTGAGTAGGTTCACCGTGGCCACCATTATCAGGGCATTCAGACAACACAACAGGTATTGTACTCTATTGCTTTCTTTGTCACAATACAATTTTACAAGCCTGTGAAAGTAGTCTATTGGTTTCAAATCAGTTGTTAGTGTGTTGTAAAACATGTCAATTGACAACACATGTTTCTTTCTTTAGAGTTGAAAGAATGCCACATAGAGGTGGGAGGGTTGCCATATTTACAGCGGCACAAGAAACCCTCATTGTGGATATGGTTCGTGAGAACAACCTCATCAGACTCAGGGAGATCAGAGACAAAGTCATTGCCGATAATGTCAACTTTGAGAGCATTGATGATGTCAGCTTGGCCACAATAGACAGAGTTCTCCGTCGCCAAAAGATGCGGATGAAACAGGTCTATAGGGTTCCCTTTGAGCGCAACTCTGCGCGACACAAAGACCTACGTTACGAGTATGTGCAAGTAAGTATACATCCATGTTCACAGTACAGTTAGTGGACCTACTGTGTTGCTCAGTGGCCTACATTACTTCTGGACAATACTGTGCTAACTGATTGACTGTTGTTCTGAACACCTGTGCATTTTCACAGAGGATATTACAGTTGGACGCGATGGCCAGACCTCATGAGTACCTCTTCCTGGATGAGGCTGGCTTCAACCTGCAGAAACGAAGGCAAAGAGGCCGTAACATCATTGGCCAAAGAGCCATCGCTGAGGTTCCTGGCCAACGGGGGGGTAATATTACTCTTTGTGCGGCCATGGGTTTGGAGGGGCTTGTCCACCGGCATGCTGTCCTTGGGTCTTACAACACCCAACGTCTCCTCACCTTCCTAGAGGAGCTAAAAGACATCCTCCTGGACCGTCAACAACACCATCCTGGGCCCGCACATCACATTTATGTGATCATTTGGGACAATGTACGCTTCCACAAAACAAACCAAATCAGAGAGTGGTTCACCACTAACAGTAACCACTTTCTAAACGTCTGTCTGCCACCCTACTCCCCTTTCCTGAACCCTATAGAGGAGTTCTTCTCATCGTGGAGATGGAAGGTTTATGACAGACAACCATACACTAGAGAGAACCTCCTAAGGGCAATGGAGCTGGCCTGTGTTGATATCCCAGTGGAGGCCTTCCAAGGATGGATTCGCCATTCCAGGGCGTTTTTCCCGCGGTGCCTGGCAAGAGACAATATAGCCTGCGATGTGGATGAGGTGATGTGGCCCGATGCAGCTCAGCGACATGATGCCGCACAGTGATTGTGTGGTGTGAATAAAGTAAATAAAAAAACTTCACACCCTGATCATGTTTTCAAGAGTACTGTTGTGTGCAATAGATTCTATTTTTGCATTGAGTTGTGTTACAGTAGTGTACATGCAGAATTTACTATAGATTTATACTCTTCATATGAAACTCACAAATCTAAATGCCTAATCCTCTGCAGAGATCTAAGAAGATCCATTACTGTAAAGTTTCTAAAAATATGCATTGGCAGTTATGAAACAAAGAACCTTCTCACAAATTGAGCATTGTGTTTTCAATTGTTTTGCTGTAGTGTGTAATGATGTGTATAGTGTTTACATTTTTGAAAGCTTCGAGCTGCTCTTTCGGTGTGAAAGTTTGAGTTTTGAAGTGATAAGGTGTGGTTGTGTTTATGTAGCTTTAGAAAAGGGTGTTGTGTTTAGACATTGGGGAACATGGAGGAAACGTTTGTGAAATGTGTTTTAGCATTTGAGAAAAACTGTAATCTAATTATAATAAAATCATTTAATAATGACACTGAATCTTTAATATAAAAAAAAAAAAAATGTTTTACTTTGCATTGTGCAAAATTATCACAAACTTTAAAAAAGTTGGCTTGAAAAAGCCGGACCAGAGAGTTTGAAGAAGTTTAAAATAGTTTGAAGTTTAAAGTAATTTGAAGTTTGATAGATGGATAAGTTAGAAAGAAAAGAAAGATTAGTTTCAATAAGAGAAAGATTAGTTAGAAAGAAAGATTAGTTAGAAAGAAAGAATGAAAGAGATTAGTTAGAAAGAAAAAAGAAAGATTAGTTAGAAAGAATGAAAGATTAGTTAGAAAGAAAGAAGAAAGAAAGATTAGTTAGAATGAAAGATTAGTTAGAAAGAAAGCAGAAAGAAAGATTAGTTAGAAAAAAGAAAGATTAGTTAGAAAGAAAGAAAGATTAGATAGAAAGAAGAAAGAAAGATTAGTTAGTTAGAAAGAAAGACAGATAGAAAGAAAGAAAGATTAGTTAGAAAGATTAGTAAGAAAGAAAGAAAAAAGAAAGAAAGATTAGGTCGAAAAAATAGAAAGATTAGGTAGAAAGAAAGAGATTAGTTAGAAAGAAAGAAATATTAGTTAGAAATAAAGAAAGATTAGTTAGAATGAAAGAATGAAATAAAGATATTAATTAAAAAGAAAGATAGATAAGTTAGAAAGAAAGAATGACTGATATAAGGATATATAGAAAGAAAGAAAGAATAATTAGAAATAAATTAATTAATTAATTAAAAAGAAAGAAAGATTAGTTAGAAAGAAAGAAAGGAAAGAAATAAGATAGATTAGTCAAAAAGAAAGAAAGAAAGAAAGAAAGATGGATAGATTAGTTAGAAAGAAAGATAGATTAGTTAGCTAGAAAGAAAGATAAGTTAGAAAGAAAGATAGATTAGTTAGTTAGAAAGAAAGAAAGAAAGAATGACTGATATAAGGATATATAGAAAGAAAGAAAGAATAATTAGAAATAAATAAATTAATTAATTAAAAAGAAAGAAAGATTAGTTAGAAAGAAAGAAAGGAAAGAAATAAGATAGATTAGTCAAAAAGAAAGAAAGAAAGAAAGAAAGAAAGATGGATAGATTAGTTAGAAAGAAAGATAGATTAGTTAGCTAGAAAGAAAGATAAGTTAGAAAGAAAGATAGATTAGTTAGTTAGAAAGAAAGAAAGATTAATTAGAAAGAAAAAAGAAAGAAAGATTAGTTAACAAGAAAAAAAGAAAGATAGATTAGTTAGAAAGAAAGAAAGATTAGTTAGAAAGAAAGAAAGATTAGTTAGAAAGAAAGAAAGATATATTAGAAAGACAGATAGATTAGTTAGAAAGAAAGAAAGAAGGATATATAAGTTAGAAAGAAAGGAAGAAAGAAAGAAAGAAAGACAGACAGATTAGTTAGAAAGAAAAAAAGAAAGATTAGTTAGAAAGAAAGAAAGATGGATTAGTTAGAAAGAAAAAAGAAAGATTAGTTAGAAAGAAAGAAAGAAAGAAAGAAAGGTTAGTTAGAAAGAAAGATAGATTAGTTAGAAAGAAAGAAAGATAGATTAGTTAGATAGAAAGAAAGAAAGATTAGTTAGAAAGAAAGATAGATTAGTTAGAAAGAAAGAAAGATAGATTTGTTAGAAAGAAAGATAGATTTGTTAGATAGATAACACAATGAAACATGCCAAATTGTACAGACATAATTTTAGCCAGGCTGTCAAACAAATGAACAAAAGAGGACAATGAAATATTAATAAGTGACTATGTTGCAGACGATGTGTGAATTTTTTTTTTTTTTTTTTTTCTCCTGTGAGCTTTTTCGTTTTTTCTTTTTAAACCTGTAGCTGTAGTTTGCCCTTTTTTCAACAATATTATATTGCTCTCCTGCATTGACACAATTGTCTGAGAACTGAACTGAGCTGAACGATGACATCACTGTTTTCTCCAGAGCGGCTGGAGAAAATGAATGATTTCAGTTCATTATTAATGAACTAAATAACTAATGATTTTTTACAATGGAAATGAATCATCATCGAAGTTACTTAAGCTGGACAATGACACTATTTTCTTCTAGAGCTGCTGTACAGCCAAAACTAACGTTGTTGCATTATTTTCCTGTTATCACTGTAAAGCTGCTTTGAAACACTCTGTATTGTAGAAAGCGACTTGACTTGAAATTATTTTGTCAGATAAATATCTTCACTAAGTATTTTAAAATATGAGGGAAGATCAAAACACTATTTTCCTCATATTTTGATGGTTTAAGCAAACTTGTAGGGTCATTAAAAAAATTAAGAAATAACTCCACACATCACTTTTAGCCACTACTGTACAGTGGCGGCTGGTGAAAAATATCCTAGGTGGGGCTGTTTCTGCGGGGGTCTGCGGGTCCTCCCCCACAACATTATTGAATTTCGTAGTTGTGATTTCCTGCATTCTGGTGCATTTTAGGCCATGTGCCTTGCCTATACCAATAAAAGAACTTAAAGGTGCTATATGTATTTTTTAGCGGCCTCTATCGGTGATATTTCAGATTGCAACCAATTTTTACAAGAGCGCTCGTGCTCGTGCTCGAACACAAGAGTGATCACTCGTGGTACCGGCCACACTGAGACTTTCAACAGAAAGCGGAGAAAGCACACACAACATGCTGGAAACTCATGTATACTCCCACTGCAACGTTACAATAATAGGCTTCTTTTATCAGCTTGACGTTGAACTAATGCTCCATGCTCATACCATGAAAACGTTACATTTGTGGTGTTATCTAGCATAAGGCATTTCACTAACTATTCGTGTATCTTTCACAATCAGCAATGTCAACAGGTGAATGTATAATATGATAACGAAAACGGTTAGTGAACTAGACTGAACAATGTCAGTGTAACAGTAAGATCATAGGAAGCAACATTACTGTACTGAACGTGTCTGGAAATGTGTATTATAAACAATATGATACTAGTGGGATGAGTGACGTTAGACAGTAGATCTAGTACACAAAATAAAAGTTACATCCTAAAGCTCCTACTTTTTGTTATCCTGGAATAGTCTTTTGTATTCATTTCATGTCTCATGTATGTTGTAGTTTACCTTGCTATTTCATTACAGTTCAATATTATTTATTTCAGCATATCTGAAAACTTGTAATTTATCACAATAAAAATAGCGGAGGTCTCTCCATAATTCAAACGCTTTGCCGATGTTGATCCGTGTTTTCGTCCTAAGTCGATCCGATTCACGTTTGGCCTGACGAGCTTCAGCAGATACATTTTAGTTTTGTTTTGTATATTTACGTGGAGTTTGTGCTGGAGTGTGTGTTGTGCTGGAGTGTGTGTTGTGCTGGAGTGTGTGTTGTGCTGGAGTGTGTGTTGTGTTGGAGTGTGTGTTGTGCTGGAGGCAGGTCGTGTTTGGGTGTTGTCAGACTCATGTCGTCAGCTGCAGTGCCGTCGCATAGACTGTATATAAAAAGGAGAGAGGCTCGGGAGCGCGCGTGCACGTCACATCCGATGGATTTTGCAGAAAATCCGACACGGAGACTTCACATAGAAATAGGAATACTAGCCTTCAGAGATAATAGCAAAACCCGACAAGTGTATCATTGTAATGTGTGATTACAACCCCTTCACACACAGGCAATAAAAAAAGTATTCATAGTAACCAGGGAACCATTGGCTTAAACTCCAGCACTGTAGGGCTGAGCGAACTGGAGCCCAGGGCAGAGCCGAATGGCTACTACTACACCAACATGATAAACATAACGACGTCAAAAGTGAATGCAAATATCATTCTGGAGAGTTCTGAACACATTCTAAAGTAAAACCATTATTAGAATGCAATTAACAGATTATTTTTCAAATGAGAGATCAATAATAAAAAAAAGGTCGGCTGGAGGTCGCTGCTGCTTCTGTGTTTGGTGTGGTCAGTGCCACAATAGTGCTTTTAAGACCCTGCTTTGTGGATTGATGAGCTCAGATGAGCAACAACAGTGCAATTATTACTTTCCTTTCATTTAATTTGCTATACAATTTCTTAAAGGTCAGTTACAAAAAGAATACCATGATGATCAAACTTTTATTGTTTGATCAACTCCGTCATCATTTAACCCCAATACATCATATTTTCATTGAAAAGTGCGAGTCCTCCTCCTCTCTGCTGCCATCTTGTTACTCCTAACTAGGTTAGGAGACCTCTCCAGCTCTCTTAAATAATTTAGGAGCTGTCTTAATACTTAGGAACCTTTATAAGTCACACTTATTCTTAAGTCTAGGAATAAGAGTAAAATGACGTCATTCTTAGAATTTTGACAGACTTAAGACTTTATATGTATAAAGGCTTTATACATACGGCCCCAGTTCTCTTCTGAATGAAGTCTCGACGGATGAAGTTTAGCCCACCGGTCCTGTAGTGAGAGCGAGTGATCAGAATGTTTCTCAATCTTGTCCTTTTTAAATGGGTTATCTACATCAAGGAGGGAGTTTAACTCTCAGATATGCAAAGTGTGCATTGAATCATTTGTTAAGGCTCCTCCTACAGGAGTCTTTTGGTAGACCGTCTTAGAAACACTAATTATCATATGAGTCATCGTTATACTTTGAAGCAGATGTTACACATTTAAACTAGTTTAATATACAAGAATATCAGTGCCATCTGTATATTTAAATGTTCCATGATTTAGTTCCTGCAGAGTATCGGTCTCAGATAGGTCTCAAATTGGTCTTATATTGGTCTCAGATTGGTCTCAGATTGGTCTTATATTGATCTCAGATTGGTTTTATATTGATCTCAGATTGGTCTCAGATAGGTCTCAGATTGGTTTTATATTGATCTCAGATTGGTCTTATATTGATCTCAGATTGGTTTTATATTGATCTCAGATTGGTCTCAGATTGGTCTTATATTGATCTCAGATTGGTCTTATATTGATCTCAGATAGGTCTCAGATAGGTCTCAGATTGGTCTCAGATAGGTCTCAGATAGGTCTCAGATTGGTCTCAGATAGGTCTCAGATTGGTCTCAGATTGGTCTCAGATAGGTCTCAGATTGGTCTCTGATTGGTCTTTGAAGATCAATCTGAGATCTATCTGAGATCAATCTGTGGCAGATCAGACATAAATTTGGATCAAAACATTGAACAGGTGATAGTAGCCATGATTCCATAGCTAATATAACAACCTATTTTCTATAATTTTGACATAAATAATTAATATGAAGAGATAAACAGATGAACTTTAATTGCTTGGGTGGCTTGTGGTGCATGTAATCTATCTTTATTTTTCAGTTTAAATGTCCCTGTGGAGCATGTAAATGAAGGACAAAGTGATTCACAAGTCTATGCAAAAGATACAGTGTCGCCTCAGAAAGATAGAAAGTACTTTATTCATCATTTACAGATGTTTCTGAAATCCATCCTCCTTTAAAGTTCTACTTCTCAAATTAACTTGCAGTTATTGCATTGTTGTTTTTCACTAGTATGACATTGAGTTCGGAGATGCAAAGCATTAAAGATTTGCTCTTTGTTAGTTTTGAGGTCACCTGTATTTGTGTAAATGCATGATATGTTTGTGATTAGCAGAGTATATTTTCAGATCATGCAAAATTGAACGTCTTTCTTGACTCTTCTGCAGTTATTTACCTATGCAAATACAAGTAGGTGCATGCTGGGCGCTTCTCCTTGACATTTGTAATACAGACGCAACAAAATAATATAAAAAGAGATACAGTATGTTATTATTTATTTAATCTGTGTAGGGATGCTCGATATATCGGTCACCATATCGGTATCGGCCGATATATGTTCAGTTTTAATGTTATCGTTATCGTAAACGTAATAAATAATGTATCAATTCCTTCAGCTGAGACTCTTCAGAGGCGCACTGTTCAACATTATGGTTTTGAATTGCGTGAAATATGATCGGAATCACTTCATAAAGAAAAATACAGTAAATGGTAAAGTAGTGCAAGTCTGTCATATCGGCTATAAATAAAATGAGCATGAGAAAATTATAATTGTGTGATTGAGACATAGTGAGACTTTTGTTTTTGTAATCAGGCTCTCAAAAAATATTTAGAAATTTTGATTTAGATTTATCGGCCAATATATCGTTTGTCGACTTTCAAATATAAAGAATTACCGGTTATCGTATCGGCCAATATTTTCGTATCGGTGCATCTCTACTATATTATCAATGCCACATTTATGACAAGCAACATTGTTGTGAATTAATTAGAATAGAAATGTTTCATTAATTATCTTTAATAATCCGAGCTGTGCACACTCGGCGCGCGCGCGAGGCAGATCTGGCCGCGCTGCTCGTATCATCTCACTCATGATCTGTGCGAGTGAGCGTTTGAACTAAACAGGTCTTGTCTACTTGTGTTTGTATGTCATATGAATAATATATATGTGCCCCATACATGGAATCAGAGTGTCTACTGTATTTAGTAAATGGAAAATCTCTACAGCAAAAGGCAACCACTACATGCATTCGGTTTGTTTCTACCATTTATTAGTAATATTTTACACAGTTTATTTACTACTTACTATATACCTGAGCATTCAGTATTGTGCAATATAACATACAGAAGGTGATGGACATTTTGGAGGGAAAGAAGTGCTGCATTTTATCATTAAAACATGTGACTTTTCATGAAAATT